AATAAATAGATTGTAAAAATAGGAATTACCGTGTAGTGGTGGTGTAAGAATATCCACGCCCCCCCCCCCCATATGTGTTGCGGGGGTGTCGTCGTAAGACGCGACAGAAAACATCAGGAGATAGGCAGCAGCGTCTTCCTAATAACGACTAAAAATAGAAATAAACTGCTGGTGCCAACCCGCTTGCCAAGCGTGGCAACTAAGGCAATATTCCCCCCATGAGGCAATCTATGGGAGAGGCCTATGTTCTACAGTGGACTTTAATAAGCTGTAACGGAAACTGTAAAAATAAGAATTTGAATTATTTTGTGCCTTTTATCTTTCGTTGACTAACTAGTTGTGATTCAAATATTTTAAATTGCTCAAGCACTCTTGTCTACCTCTAATTTAATTATAGTCACTAGCCAAGGCTGTCCAAGGGAACTTCTGTCCGTCTTCTCTTACGTCTGCACTGACTAGCCCATGCCGTAAAGGAGAAAGTCGATCTTTTAGGTTCTCTTTTTGCGTCAAACTAGACTCCCGATGAGGGGGGCGGGGAGACCCCGTTGACCATGCCGGATGTGTGGTTAACACAGTGCTCGGAGCGCAAAGCACTCCTTCATGGACGCAATTTCTAAGTCGTTTCGGTTCAAGATATGTTTGTGAAAAGGTTTTTTCAAATCTTAATTACTAATGTAAAAAATAAATATCGCACATCACTAACGGAGCAACAAACCTAATGAAAATTATTACAACAGAAACACCTCGACTCTCGATGACGGGGAGGACACACCGCTAACCATCCCGCGGTGTGAGTACTAGATGCAGGAAGTGCTGTTTACACAGCGCTCGGTGCCTAAAGCACTCCTCTCCCTGGACGGCAACCAGTCGAGTGGGCCTGATGGAGTCCCACCTATTGTGCTGAAGATGTGTGCTCAGGAGTTGGCACCGGTTTTAACGCGTCTTTTCAGGTACTCCTACTCCCTAGGCGTAGTCCCGAACTCATGAAAGACAGTTTTCGTGCCAGATCCTTAAAAAAGGCGACCGCTCAGATCCGTCCAACTACAGGCCTATCGCTATCATCTCCTTGTTCTCCAAAGTAATGGAAACCATTATTAACTGCCGGCTCATGCGGTACCTTGAGGATCACCAGCTGATTAGTGTCTGCCAGTACGCTTTCCGTCGAGGTTGTTCGGCTGGTGATCTTCTAGGTTACCTAACTCGTAAATGGGCGGAGGCAGTGGAGTCCATGGGGGAGGCGTTGGCTGTTAGTTTGGACATGGCGAAGGCCTTCGATCGGGTTTGGCACAAAGCGCTTCTTTCGAAGCTTCCTTCCCATGGGCTTACCGAGAAATTGTGCAATTGGATCACCAGTTTCTTGCAGATCGGAGCATCAAGGTCGTAGTAGACAGTGCATGCTCCGATTACAAGCCCATTAACGCTGATGTTCCACAAGGCAATGAGATGTTGCAAATTGGTAACATTCATTGCTATGCAGATGACAGCACTGGTGATGCTTTATACATCGGCGGTGCCAATATTGCTCGGGAAAACGTCTGCAAGTACCAGAACAAACTTGTGTCTGAAGTCGAGACTTTGTTAAAAAAAGTCTCGAACCGGGGGCGACTAAATCTAGTCTAGTTCAATCTCCAGAAGACACAAGTTTGCGCGTTTACCGCTAAAAAGAACCCCTTTGTCGTATCTCCTCAGTTTCAAGGCACTCCTCAGCCAGTATCGGAATCCTCGGTGTCGACATATCCGAGTAATGTGCAGTTTCGTGGTCATGGAAAAGAAGGCCAAATTGGCCTCTAAAAAGCTTCGCGTGCTCAGCAGAGCGGGACAGTATTTCATGCCGGCACACCGCTTGCAACTTCACAAGGCGCAGGTTCGGCCTCACATGAAATACTGTTTCTATCTCTGGGTAGGGGCTCCCCTTGTGCCAGCTCCTTCCACTTGACCACATCCAGCGCAGAGCGGTTCGAATCGTCGAGAACCGAGTTCCTTCTGATCGGCTTGACTCAATGGCACTGCGTAGATATGTTGCATCTCTTTGCGTATTTTATCGCATCTACCACGGGGAGTGCTCTGAGGAATTGTTCGGATCAATTCCAAATGCTCAATTTCAACATTGGACATCGCGCCAAATATACGATACATATGATACCATCCATACCACCTGTATGAATGGTGGTCCACCACTGTGCGATTTAGAAGAAATTTCTTCCCCGCACAACTTCCTTGAGGAATCGATTACCACCAGCGATTTTTCCGGACCGATACAACTTAGTGACCTTCATGAAAAGAGTCTAATCCTTTTTTAAAGGCCAGTAACGCATCTGCAATTCCCCTGGTGTTGCAGTTGTTAATGGGTGGGAGACGGGAGTAGGTAGTCACTTACCATCAGGTGAACCGCATGCACGTTTGCACCCTCTCCTATAAAAAAAAGTTAGAACTCAGAAATAACATTGATTCTATCAATTACCTACCTTAGATTTCATTTCGATTTTGATTTAAGTTACCTACATATGTAAAATTTTATTTGGCATACGATGCTCTTTATTTTAACAATAATTTTACATTTCATATTACGTAGCGAATTTATTATTGTACAAATCTTAAACTAAAATAGGAGCCGAAATATCTAACCGTCCGTTTAGCCCGACTGTTAAAAAAGTTGAGCAACCTTGGCTTAATATATAGTCTAGATCTCTCCTGGCATTGCTTTCCATCTATTCGTAGTTTCATCACAATCATTTCAACGATTCCGAATTAACCAGGATAATATATATGTATGAGGCGAGAAAGGTATGTCAGAATCGTGCCAGATTATATTTGATACACAATGCATATGTGCACCCTCATATGTGACCGGCGCAATAATACCTAATTACAATAATAATCGATCAAGGAAGGTATTCAGGAGTTGAACTTTTAAACGTTTTGTAACTGTTATAAGCAATTACGTGTTTAGCGCGGTCTGTGAGACGAATGTTCTAGATCCCGGGAGCGACCCCAGTAGGAAGTGAGCTGTCTCTTCGCAATCCATGCAGGCTTAGGACGGAGGAACCTATAATCCTATACTGCACAGATGTTTATTAAACGATCTGTGCCCAATGTGTGTGTGTACTTGTTGACAGAATCTGAGATTTGTTGAAACAAAGCAGTATTTTGGAAAAGTGGCTATTGTTGATTTGTGTAGCCTCTTTAGCTTGCCTGAATTCCATGATTAATCGAAGATTGCGAGTGTAGGTTCTTTGTGCAGCATCGCACCTAGTTATTAACCTTGTAACGCTTCAAAAATCTCTATATATAAATATCAATTGCTGTCCGTTAGTCTCGCTAAAACTCAAAAACGGCTCTACTGATTTCGATGAAATTTTTTGTGTGTTCGTATGGGTCCCTTGATGGTTTAAATTTCCATTTGGACCCAGTAGGGGCAATGTTGTCGAGATCCAGAAACCACCCGTGCGAAACCGGCGCGGATCGCTAGTATAGTACAAATACGGTATAATTTGTTTATTTTCACAGTGTAGAGGCAGTATAATATTCAATACCCCATATGGGTGTCGTAAGAGTCGACAGAGGGAAACAAACCAAGAGATGGGTAGAAGCGTGTTTCTAATACTTAAGAAGCAGAAAATTAAAAACTGCGATTGCCGATTAGACTACCACTCATAACGACTATGGCAATCCCTCTTATGTGACAGTCAAAGACGCCTATGTTTAGAAGTGTCCTACTTTAATGTAGTGTCTACGTGCTATTTTCGAGAGTCATTACGAATCGTCTCGCACGCAGTCTCGACGACTTCCAGCCTCCCCAACACGCCGGTTTCCGAAAAGGCTTTAGCACCATAGACCACATACACACCCTTCGGCGAACTGTACAGAAGACCGAAGAGTACAATTTGCCACTATGTCTTGCGTATGTGGAGTGTGGACTATGAGAAAGCCTTTGATTCCGTCGAAATGTAGGCGGTGCTGCAGTCCCTTCAGCGGTGCCAAGTTGACTGTGGGTATACCGAAGTGCTGAAGTGTTTGTACAGTAGGGCTACGATGGCTATCCGAGTACAGGACCAAAGTACGAAACCTATCCAACTGTTAGACATGGTGACATTATATCCCCAAAACTCTTCACCGCTTAATTAGAAGACGTTTTCAAGCTACTGGACTGGAAAGGATGCGGTATTAACATCAATGGCGAGTACATCACTCACCTTCGATTTGCCGACGGTATAGTCCTTGTGACAGAATCGCTGGATGACCTAAGCACTATGCACAATGAACTCAATAGTGCCTCCCAACGGATAGGTCTAAAGTTGAACATGGACAAAACAAAGATCATGTATAACGTCCATGTCACACCTATACCGGTAGTTGTTATGAGCACTAAGCTCGAAGTTGTTGAGGGACAAATAGTCCGACTAGGTATAAGTCCCAACTTCGACCGAGAGGTCAATCAACCGATTTAAGCTGGGCAGCGTTCGGGAAATTACGACACATCTTCTAGTCAGGTATATGTCAAAACCTGAAAACGAGTTTGTACAACCAGTGTGTGTTGCCAGTGATGACTTATGGATCTCAGACTTGGTCCTTCACTGCTGGCCATATGAGGACGCTCAAGGTCGTTCAGCGAGCTATGGACGGCTATGCTCGGGGTTTTTCTGCGTAATACACTTAGATATGAGGATATCCACAGTAAAACCAGAGTGACCGACAGAGCCCAACAGATTAGTAATCTGAAGTGGCCATATAGCTCGAAGAACCGACAACCGATGGGTAAACTGTTCTCGAGTGGCTACCTCGTACTGGTAGGCGAAGTGTAGGGCGACCCCCCACTAGAGTGACGCCCTGGTAAGATATGCAGGAAGTCGATGGATGCAGGTGGCTTGGGACCGTGTTTTGTGGCATTTTTTGGGGGAGGCCTATGTTCAGCAGTGGAATTGTGAAGGGCTGTAATGATGAAATAAATTAAATTTCATAATAGTCATAAAATCTTTTAATGATTTATTTTAACACTTAAATTATTTACGTTTAGGTAATATTTCAGGTGGAATATAATTTTCATCTAATTTGTTCTGTTCGCTTTTCTTTTTGGCTGTAGTATCAACCAATTTTTCTTTTTCCTCAATTTGTAGATCAATGTTGTCTTCATTTTCAAAGAACCATAGTTTTTGTTCCTCTCCTTCTAACTCCTTTTGCTTTAAATTAATTGCTTCCATTCGTCGAGCTCTCTCAAGTCTCTGTAATTGTTCTTTCAATTTGTTCTCTCTTGTATTTATCCATATTTCAAATAACTGAAAAATTGCAAGCAATAATTAAAAAAAGTTTGTTAATATTTAAATATTGATATATTTGTTACATGTAATGCCTGAAGAACTAGGTAAACCTAGGGATGCCCAGTACAATTTGGTACACGCTTGTTTATGATAAATTATATATTGAGAGGGAAGTCAGTAATTTTTTTTTTGTCTATGAGGCCGTTTCAGATTTATCTTGTAAATACCACTAATGGCTCTCTTCTGCAAAACAAAGATAGTTGCAATGTCAGTTGCATTACCCCATAGAAAGAAACAACTAATCTAGCTGATTAACACAAGGCTTTTAATCCTTTTTTACAGTTAATATTAATAAATCATTTAAAAAAAATACTAAGTGTTGTCAGTATAGAAATGTCTAAAATTAGCGGGGTCGAATGTACTACTCATAGAGCAACACGGGCACAGGCCTCCAGTGAATTGGAGAGAACAGAAGCAGTACTGTTTCGTAGAAAAAGATTAATGTGTAACATGATTGATGGCCATACTAAGTATGTAATACATTTATGTTGTCTGTAATCTTCAAATTCAGAACCCATTTACTAATTCTAGATTATATTAAAATGAAATGATAGATGGAAACAAAATTTATTTTAAGTGTATACTAACCTTTTGCTGCATTAGTATATCATTTTTTTGAGTCTTGTTAATGGCATTTTCAATTAAATTCTTAACAGATTCCTCCAGTGGAATTTCAGCCTTTGAACATTCATTCAGCAAAGAAATACATCTATCAAAAATATGCTTTGCTTCTTCAGTTTTATCAGATTGTTTTTGCATCAACTCTATTACTTCATTGTAGATTTTAAATGATTTTATTTTGTGTAACACTTCACAAAATGATAACATTTGGTCATACTTCTTGTAATATAACCAACCTATAATTTGCAAATTCCTATCAATGTTGTTATTGCTTTGCTGTGAAATCCAGGCTAATGTCTTACCAGAAAGGATGGATATTTCTTTAATGTCAAAATGATCATCATAATAAGGGTTCCTGAGAAATTTTACTCTTATTTTTATTTCCTCTTTCTTTTTGTCTTCTTCTTTCACTGGCTCTTGAATTATATTATCACTGCATTCTGTTAAATATTTATAGCAGGCATACTGACTCAAAGCACAAGTTATTTCATTTGAGTATTCCTCCTGCAACATTGTTAATGCTGCAACATTAGCAGCTAATTCATAATTTTTGGATGTAACTAGCTTATCCAATAAAATATTAGCTGTGAAATTGTCCAAAAATATACCATAATTTAAAGGATCTCGAAGCATGTTAACTAAATCTTGTATGTTTCCAAATTTTATATAGTTTCTGATCGTAGCATGGTGTGTTGAATCAAGCATATTTCCAGTTTCGGCTGACATTCTCAGTTTGTGTAAAAGTTCTTTCAGTTCATCAAGATATGTAGAATCTCTTATAGCGTTAGCAAATACATCCACATCAATTGCGCTAATAACACCTTTTGATGTATAATTTTGAGTTAATGTAGTAAAAAAATCATTTAAATTCACAGTATTTAATAATGACGATGACTTTTGTGCATCCCATGCTTCTTCACATTTATATTCATTTGTTAAAAACGATCGTGTATGTGTTCTAAACAAAAAGCAATAATTTTTTAGGAGATATTTACTGCTTGGTCTAAACATTATTACATTTGCTTTACGGAAAAAGAAATGGTACTTCTGCAGAGTACAGATGCTGGTGAAATTTCTTCAAATTTCTAAAAATATTTTAGGGATGATCATCGATGTCAAAAATGACAACATCGATTTTTTTTCGGAGTTTATGGCCTGGTATCTAGACCTTTAGGCCAAAAACATCGATGTTCTAACATTGATGTTGCCACATGTCAAACCATAGAGATATATATTTTTTTTCTTGAAAAGACGTTACCCCCACACTAGGATTTTCTCCTGTATCGCGGAGGCAGTTTACAAACACAAATTGCACAAGGACAAACATCCAGACCCGGAAAAATTATTTGTAGGCCATACAAATACTTGGTCCGTGCGGGATTCGAACCCGCGGCCCCAAGCGTTGCAACTCATTGCTAAGCCACTACGCCACGGAGCTGACACTACGACACACTGACTTAGAAGTAAATATATTATATACTTCTAAGTCAGTGTGTCAAACTACTGTCAAACGTCGAAACATCGATGTTAATAAACCCATAATCGATTATTGGGTACTTGCGAACACTGGGAACCCACGAAATCAATATCAACTAAATCTTGCATATCCTCTAAAATATTTAAAATTTTGAATAATTCAGACTGTCAGATTGATCAGATTCAGATTGTCTTCAGTTCATAGCACGTCAGACATCATTGGAACAATTATTAACCTAACACTCGGTGATGTAGAGGTCTCCTGCTTGGCTGAGGCCAAGGAAGCCTGGAGCAATAGGACAGGGCCGGACCAGGTTTTCCCGACAAACTCAGCTTCGCAGAGGCTTTGGGATTAGCCACTATGTATCTAGGTTCAAAAAAACCTTTTAGAATACTGCGGAAACCTTACAGAGCGAACTCGTCTCCTAGCATCTGAGAAGAAGGAGTCGGACTACTGGTACTGCCCTCGTCAAATATCGGAACACTCTTGGATAGTACTACTTTCTCTCTTGCTATCAGCTTGAGATTAGGTTTAAAAACCAATGAGCTCCATCGCTGCCGCTGTGGTAAAGGGGTCGACATTTTCGGACACCACGGTCTCGCGTGCCATCGAAGCGCCGGTCGCATCCCGCGCCATGCAGCCATCAATGACGTCATTCGACGGGCCTTAACCAGTGCCAACGTACCTGCAATTTTAAAGCCAAGCGCTATATTGCGGGACGATGGCAAGAGGCCTGATGGAATGACGCTTATTCCATGGAAAAATGGGCGCTCCTTAGTATGGTATGCGACTTGTGTTGACACATTAGCGCAATCACATTTCGCGGCGACTGCACAGAAGGCAGGCGCGGCTGCTGCTGTTGCCGAGTCTAACAAGCGGCGCAAATATGCAGCCCTCGGAGAGGGATACATGTTTGTGCCGTTTGGTGTAGAAACACTGGGGCCGTGGGGTCCTGAAGCAAGGCGTTTGTACAGAGATATTTCATCACGCCTTGTCAATGTCTCTGGTGACCCAAAAGCTGGCAGATATTTTGGTCAAAGGATCAGCCTCGCAATACAGCGAGGCAACTCAGCTAGTCTTTTGGGCACACTACCAACAGACGGCGACGATTTAGCTAGTATTTTTTACTTAAATTAAGCTTTACATACCGTATAATTTTGTATAACACTTTCTTTTTCTTTTAATTTATTTATTATGCTAATTAGAAGTATTTATGTTTTATTTTGATTTGTTTGTGTTATATTTTATGTAATATTGTTTCTTATAATTTGATTACAATAAATCATTATAGGTTATCAAATTTAACTGTCGAGTGTCAACTATAATGTCGCAGTTGTCACTGATTTCGTTTCATTATTGGTGTCGTTGTTGGTTGTCTGTTTCTTTGTCGGTTGTTTTTAAAAAAATCCGATGGTGGATCTTAAACACGATCCAATGCACGTTTAGAACAATGTTATTGGTTCTACCTATCTAAAATTAAATCTACCGACTTCAAAAAGGTAAAGGGACTCAATTCGAGTGTGTGTTTTTTTTAGTGTGTATTACCTCATAACTTTTTTCTGGGTGAACCGATTTCGATGATTATTTTTTTATTTGAAAGCTGGTGCTTCGTTATATGGTCCCATATAAATTTGACCCATATAAGTCTGACCAATAGTTTTTGAGTTATCCTTAATAATTTAAATAAAAGGCAGTTGTACCAATTTTTTATTTTTTATTTTTTTAACTCTCAACTCTTTATCGACAGAGAAACAGATTGAAAGGTACTTCTTTATCAAAATTACTGTTTCCTCAATCAATCGGCAGAAATATTGGACTATATAACAAATTTTTTAATAACTGTTTTACACTACGTCGTTTATTAATTTCTTTTATTTCAATAGTTATAAACCATAAACAACATGACAATTTTTTTATTCACGAAACTTAATAGTAAAAAAATCTTAGACACAGCGCTAAATTCGGAACAGATTCAGAATAACCCAATTTTACGAGAAAAGCTCCAATGAATTACATTGAACCGCTTCTTTGGAAGAAATACTGGCAGCTTTCAAGTCGTAAAATCTCCAAAATTACATATCCTGCAGAAAAATCATCGTAGATTTTTTTCAGATTTTGAACTATTACACGAAGATCTTCATCTTGTGACGTTAGCAGAGTGTAAGGCTGAACAACACTCAACAGCGACGGTCTAGTTCTTCGTAAAATCTGTCAAGACATTCTAACATAGTTCTCTGCAGCTCCTCTGGCAATGTTAGTGTCCAGCATATCGGGTCATTTCTTCTGGTAAACGTTTTCGAAATCTCATTCCTCTTCTTCTAATGTCCTGGAAATGTCCACATTCTCACATTTATTGTTACGTAGGAAACAACTTTTTCCGCAAGTTGAATACGTTTGCTTTGAAGAAAATTTGGGCTTTCGTTTTTATCACATACGTTTCCAGTGATAATCTAGATTATTATTTTATTATTTAGTATTTACTTTTGTGTCTGACTAACTTCTTTTAGGATTTTACACCAAAAGGAAAGATAGCATAAAAAAGTGAAGTCACACAAAGCTGGTACGAGTGTAGATGCTGCTTCTCTTGTATCGACTTTTCTCTGTTGGTGCTGGGATCATAATATATATCTTCGAGTGTTTATACTAGTTTCTTTTTTAAATTATTCTGCAGTCGTTTAACAGCGTCATGATGAGCAATCCATCTTGTCTCTGAGAGTCTTTTGACGGATACGCCTACACTTTTCATTAAAGTTTCCCATTGACGTGTGGATGATGAAAATAACCTGTGAACTCTTTCTACTGTTGCGAAAAAAAGTTAAACTTGAATTAACGCTCCCTAAGTAAGTGCACTCCACATAGATTTAGCGAATGATTACCACAAGGTGTTTTCTACGTGGTAGAGCCATGCTGCAGCTATATTAGTAGTATAGTTGTAGCAAGAATAGGTCGGCTCGACGGGGGAAGGACCACGCACTCACAGAATACCAGCGTATAATAGCAGCTCAACACTGATGTGTTTCGTATGGTGAGTGTAGAGAACCGGAGACCCTTTTTACTGGAAAAGAGGCATTCCATCTTAGTCCTCACGGATGACAACGCATCTGAATTTTGATTCGCAAACGAGGATAGATGTAGATGTCTATGGGTCATAGCAACCACTTACCATCCGGTGGACTGTGTGCTCGTTTGTCACCCTATCCTATAAAAAAAAACAATATATTCATTCATTTGACAACGTCAAATTTTAAAAGTGTTGTCATCTATAGCTTAAAATGCACCCCCTAATTTTTAGGGAAAGAACATTCGTGTTTTAGTGTTTTGTTTTCGTTTTACTTAATGATATGATTAATTGAAATACAACATGGAATATACCAACTATGATTAGCAATAAAAAGTCTAACCGTTGGTAATGTTTTTATTTTGTGTAAACATTTATTAGTGTTAGAAGGAGATAAAATACAAAACTTGGTGCCTCTCTTTCTAAGAGAAATGGGGAACGGTTACAATGTTCCAAGCACTCACTACCTATATTATATTATAACCTCCATGAGTGTCACTAGCTGAAAGTTGCAATCATCAGACTAAAATTACCGTGTTTTTATTCAGGTAGAATATACTAATTAGTCTGTGGTGTCTTTGTACAAAATACCGTGTACACTGTACAAACATATTTACGGTATTAATAAATATATTATAATTTATAATTAATATATATAATTATTAATTTACCCCGTGTAGTGGCGGCTAAGAATACTCACTACCCCATATCTTCCCGTGGGTGTTGCAAGAGGCGATAGAGGGAAACTAAGGCAGAGGATGGGCAGCAGCATCTTTCTGATAACAGCAAAACAACAATAAAAAAACTGCGGTACCCCCCAATGAGTAAAGTTACGATGAGACGGCCCCCAGTCCCCGGCGCTATTCCTGGCTACGATGGCGACCATGGTTACGGCGGTGCTAAGAATCTCCGGTGGAGGTTCGGTTGCCACCTAAGACAACTCGACCTGATAACATACAATGCACGCACCCTGAGGAATGACAAGAAGATCGTGAAGCTGGAAGAAGAGATAGACAAGTTACGCTGGCATATTATAGGATTATCCGAGGTCCGAAGAGAGGGGGAGGACACGGTAACCCCCGAATCCGGCAACTTGTTCTATCATCGAGAGGGCGACCATCTGTCCCAAGGAGGTGTCGGATTTATCATCCACAAGTCTCGTTAACAAAGTTGTAAAGATTGGGAGTGTGTCGACAAGGGTTGCGTACCTTATACTCAGAATCACCAAACGGTATTCGCTAAAGGTCATACAGGTTTACGTACCAACCTCGGCACACCCCGATGAGGTGGTGGAGGAAATGTATGTGGATATCTCTAGAGCCATGCATTCCTCCAAAACCCACTATACGGTGTTAATGGGAGACTTCAACGCAAAACTAGGCACAAGAGAGAACGTTGAGCTAAAAGTAGGGAAATTCGTAATAAGGCAACGGAACCGAAGGGGCCAGCTGCTAGCCGACTTCATGGAGAAAGAGG